AAAAAAAAAAAAAGAGCTTGCTATCTCATTTCCCCTCTCCTTTGTACATCTCTCCTTTGCTCTTCTAACAAAATGGATATCACTGTTGAGAGAGCACTCTGGTAAAGCAGCTGTAATGAGATGTGGATGGCAGCATGCAGAGGGCCAGGTCTCGGCACTCTGCTCTGTGGCTTATGAGAGGCTGCGGGAAACAGTAATGCACACACAACCTTAAAGTATTGGTGTACAGATAGGGCTGGGCTGTCGGCTGATAGATGAGAGGGGTTAAAGAGTACCCCCTACCGTCGTGTGTGTCTGTGTGTGAGTGCATGTTTGTAGGTGTACACACAGGCTATGGCAAATAAATAGAGTTGTCTGCCTCACTGACAGACAGTTATATATGAAGGGATTGTATGGTTGGATAAAACTGCAGGCATACGCAGATAAAAACAAAGCCTATTAGTTGATTAATGACCATATGAGGTGAAGGATTGGCAAAACATGATAAAAGAAAGAAAGCAAGGTAACAGCTCTTCCTAAAAAGCCTGTCAATTTGAGCTAGCTAAGAGAGAGCGCATGATTGGTTACGATTTACAGCAAGACAGGGACAGTATTCTGTTTCAAGCAGTCAGTCATGAGGCACGTATCAAGAATTACGAGTGGAGAAATGAGTTATGCTACCCCTGTCTTAGTGCTAATAAGAGCATATCGTCCAGGACTTGAAATAGGGCTGGGCTTTAGCAAATGTAATATAAGAAGTGTGTTTTTCCAGCCCTAAAAGCCCTTGATAAACTCTTCAAAGCAGATCCACATCAGCGGAAACAGAGGGGACTAAGCTGCTAGCTGACTTTTACGCAACTGATAACTGATATAATGAAAGACTTTGCAAACGAGTCCTTTTGCTCTGCCTTTGATTTCGCTCGCTCTCCATGTCTATGTATATCTGTCTCTCCCTTGTTGTCTCTATGTTTCCCTTTCTCTTCCTCTATCGAAGCATTAAAGGAGGATTTAGATGGCTTTATTGTTATTTCTGTAGCACAATGGATCACCCCGTGTAATGTAACCAAACCCTTTTCCTTGCTTTTAACTGGCCCCTCCCTCCCTCCCAGTAACATCCATCCCTCTTTCTTTCTCTCTCACACGCATACACCCCTTCCCTCCACCTTTCCCTCCATTTATAAAGAATTAGACAGAGTATAAATGGTGCCTATGGCAGGAGCAGATACAGGCACAGATCCTCTCAAAGGGCTCTATTGACTGGTGTTTACTTAAGGCCAGGGACATTAGCCGCTGCTAAATCTACCTCAATCTGCCCTTCTCGGCTTCTCAGGTTCTGTATGTACTAGCCTGAATGTAACACAGACGCCTGCCCGCTCCCAGATCACAGCCACAGCGCAAGTGCGTGTGTGCGTGCTTGTGCATATACTTTTGTAGTGCATCCTTGTGTGTCTGTGCGCCGTTTGCCCGTGTGTGAGATTGCTGACATTGGGCATGTAATGACCCTGCCTATCAGTGGTGTAACAGCACAAGGGTAAAAGCAGTGTCGGGTACCTTCTGTTCACATAGTGCAGCGACACTAAAACCAACTAAATATCACAAGAAAGACAGAATTCATTGCAGGTATTCAAGGCAGCTTATCAGTAATTTGAGAGTTCCTTTGAGAGTTGTGTACGTAATAATGAAACCGAGAACTGAAAATGCCCGTCAGTGGGACAGAATAAGATGCAACACACGACTAACAGTCACTTAGTGCGCACATTTAGTCGAAATGCATATTCCTTTCTCAACATGATCATAAAATAACAATAATTGATCTGTGTGCTGTAATTGTTCTCATGAGTGAGGTGAGGAACCAGGCTGGGGTTGGAGTTATGCGTTTTACTGTAATTTTCTCATTTATGATGCACATCTATTACCTATCATTAAAGTTGAATGCACAGCAAGCTGTGAACAGCGCTAAACATCAAACTCACAGGGAAAGACACAGACTGACTAAAGGCCGAATTTCAGCAAATGACTCCATGGATTGATCAGCTGGGGCATAGACAGAAATAGGGCCTTTAGAGGATCCTCTCATCAAAGCAGCATCCTGCCAGCTCCCCCCAGCCATAAGCTCAAATAAAAGCCATACACACAGACACGCCAACGTGCACGCACAGACACACACACAAATCCTCTTTCAGGAATCAATAATTCAGCTAAAGAGAAGCACATGCTACGCCCCACTGCACTAATCAATAGAAAGCCAAATGTTATTGTTTCATCTCATTCTCTGACTTTCACATTCTAATCTGGGCTGACTAGCACATGCTGGACAGCGTCAGATACCTCCATTAAATTAGAATATAATACGCACATACAGAGGGGGTAAAGGGACCCCGTATTCAGAAGGCGCCTCAAATTATTCTTATTCTTATTCTTATGACAATGTTTAGCTCCTTTCTTTACAATAAAGTCCTCAGTTGTAACCAGGCACAGATGCTCTATAAATTTTCTATGCATAGAATCTCAAATATGTCATAAAATGGAGGCGAGAGAAGGAGAATGGCAATACTTTGGTATGAGTTACGCCCCACTCCCCCTCCCAATCGCTACGAGATATTTATGCCCCCCCCCAGCCCACATCTCTTGGGAGAGTGAGGCTATACTTTGAGAATGCAGCAATGAAGATGAACAGAAATACCTGTGTGATTTGAGACTGATGTTTGAATCTGAGCGTTGGTATGCGAGCAAAAAACGAAAGGCCAAAACGACCGCCATGTGATTTTGTCGAATGTGTGAAGGGAACCTGCCAGCCAAGGCCCTTCTCCCCTCTCTGTAATCGAGCTATCAATGATCATTAATGAGAGTGAGATAGCTCTCCACGGCCCTCTCGGCCACATTGCCCAACACTCTGGCCTCTCTCCACGCCTCCCTTTCTCCTCCTGACCCCGTCTGTTGCTGTATCATATCAGCCTACGAGGCCACAGGCTACGGCAAGTAACCATGAAAATGAATATGAATGTTGGCTGCTGATTTATAAACGGAAATGTATGCACTTCCTGCCCCTCCCCGCATCCCTATCGCGGGTCTCGTTTGCATGACACAGGACCCTAGCAGCTTGCTCAAGGATACATCAATCGCTGACGGTGGCAAGATCGGATCTGCGCTGACCTTGGGAGTGAACTGCAGCATAGGCGAAGGAGGCAGGGGGCCCTGTTGCAACAGAGCCAGGGAGGCTGAAAGCGAGAGGAGGGAGGAAAAGGGGAAAAGAAAAGTGCAGGGGAGGGAGGACGGGGAATGGAGGGGCATACCCTGATTGAGAGGCCCCCGAGATGAGTAACTCTGAGATATGAGAAGGGGGAGGGCGAGAGAGGGGGATGATGGAAGGAGTAGAGGAGGGGGGTGGGAGGGAGAGGGAAGCCATATGGCAGCAGCACAAATGTATTAAACTATAAATCAGGGAGAGCTTGTGGACTGCCAGGTGGGGCTGCAGGCAGGTCCTCCCAGCTGGAAGTGCAATGATTCACAATACAGCTCCACATGGAAAAGTATCAAAACATCACTGGTATTTTGCTTTATCAATTCTGTTAATACATTCATTAATTAAACATTGTTCCCTGCTTTATTTCCCTGTTATAATTAGGGGAAATTAGCCACATTTTAACTTTTACTCCTTGGGCACTGTTTGAGAATGCTCCCCACTGCCGCCAATAAAACAGCTGAGTTTTGAAACCAATATCAAAACAAAACTTTTTTTCGATACCTTTCGTATGGGAAAATAAACATGTTTTTTTCTCAATGATTCAGAGTTAAATAAAGACTTTGCCTGAATAAAATATAAACTAGAGTTAGAAACATTTCCTAATAATGATCAACAGATATGTGTTTAAAAATGATAAGTAAGCAAGCTTTATTTTTTTTTATTGAATCATCTGTCCCACCATTCAATGCCAACTTTATACTATTTGATGCTCATTTGGGTGGGTACTCAAAAATGATTGAAATTCAATTCCCAGTCCTATTTATTCCTCTCTGCAAGTAATGAGGGATTTTTAAATTGTGGTAGAAAAACAAATAGAGTAATCCCCAAAAGGCTTCCATTTTAATCCCTTGATGATGTCTGGGTAGTGAGCCCAGCCAGTGTCCTGGCAGCCATCAGGGCCCAGGCCTGAGCTTTCATCCCAGAGGCACTGATGCATACTACAGCTAGAGCAAACACGGGCAACCTTCCTCATGCCTGCTCTGTGTCAGAACCATGCTGACCATCACAACAGAAAAGAAGGGTTCATACCCCGTTGTCCCCTCTTTGTAAGGCACAACAATAAGGCACTTGTGCTGTTTAGTGAATTAGCAACTTCATAATTAAATGGGTTTTTTTTTTTTTTTTTGCCTCTTTAGAAAAGTGGCATTGAAGCATTTAAACAATGGCCTACATTCAGCTTGCAAATACTTCATTAGTAAATTAAATTTGGATCCTAATTCTGTCATTTGTTTAATGTGTGACAGAACAAAAGAGCTGTCCGTCAGTTATTTTGATTAACAAAAGCCACTAACTTGACTGTGCTTGTTAAGATGTGACACTTGATGCCATTGCAGGGTGTCACATCAAGAGCTCATCAGTTTGCAGGTGAGGAATAGATGGAGGTTACTGGACAGCTCCCAGTTACGGTCTGGTAGGCTGGACTAACAGTATCCCTGAGCTTCCAGCCTTGATCCCTGATCCCTGATTCTTCCTTCACTCACTCACTCTCACACACACACACACACACACACACAAGCGGACACACACATACACATTGACATAGACATCTAAACTCCAACGAGGTACCTGCCATCTGAAACCATCACAGCCAAGGCCAGCTATCCATCAACTCCCACCTCCACTCAGGGATGAGAGGAGGATGAAGGGAGTGCGGTGGAAGAGAAGAGGTGGAGGAGGGAGTGGAGGAGAGGGGGAGGGAGGGAGGGAGAGTAGGACAGTAGTGTAGGAGTAGATGAGTAGGCTTGAGGAATGCAAGAAGAGCAGAGGAGCGGCGTACCTTGGTCTGGAGATAGTGGGGGTAGTAGTAGGTGTACTGAGGGTACATTGGCTGCTGCTCCAATCGCTTGCCCATGTAGCTGGAATCCTTAGCACTGAGGCAGGGAATGGTGACACGGGGGTGGGAGCTGCCAAGTAGCTAGCAATGGGATAGAGGCAGCAGAGGGGCTGTGCGATTCCTGTCTTTACTGTCCGCACCACTGTGTTGCTAGCCGGTCCTCCAGGGAGAAGGCAGGGTCTGCGTGCGGGACAGCGGCTGGGAGGAAGGTCTACCTCTGATGGAGAAGCTCCTGATGAACGGTGCCTCACCAGTCCGGAGCCTCAGTATCGGGCGGATGCTCACTCAGTCTCTCACTGCTGGATCAATGGAAATATTTCCACAAGTGCTAGAACCAAGAGCAGCGTGTCTGTCAGCAGCTGGTATCGGATAGTAACGCGTGATAAGGGTGAGGTAGAGGAAGAAGAGGAAAGAGAAGACGTGAAGAGGTGCAGGTGGCAGTAGCTCTGGCAGTCCTGTAAATGTTGGAAAATGGGAGAGGAAGAGGAGGAGGAGAGGAGGAGGAAAGGGATGGCAAGGAAAACGGGAGAGGACGTATAGGTTCACTTCTCTATTTAAGCTGTTTCACTCCAGTCTTTCGCCTGTGCTTTAATCTGCCTCTCTCTCAAACACACTGTGAATCTGACTCTCTCTCACTGCCCCTCTCTCTCTCTCTCTCTCTCTCTTTTTCCCTCTCTTACATACACACACACTCTCTCTCTCTCTCTCTCTCCTCTGTAGTCTCACCCGACGGTGGCTGCGTGCTGTCCTGTTTGACAGAGGGGAGATATCCTCAGCACCGGTTGCCGACAGATGCACTTTGTGCACGGAGCACAATCACAACACGAGAGCCGAGCACAGGCACAGAAAGCAATCTCAGTCTGTAGCGGTCGAGCTAGCAAGAGAGCAGATCACACAGGGAAATTATCCTAGTTTCTGAATGATGTGGCACACACGTATATTAAAAAATCCACTGGTTGGTTAGTCAATCCACTGGGTTCCAGCTAGAAGACGAGTGAAAAAAAAAAACACAGTGACTGTGTCCCAGGTGCCCAGTAAAGAAGGAGTCCCTCGTCTGCGATCCTCCCTCTTCCTGCTCTTGTAAAATGTGTTCCTTATTTCTTCCTCGGCTCTCTCACTCCTCTAAGCAGCTTGCCTCATTCTCTTTCCCTCTGTCACACAGTTGCTCTCTCTCTCTTGCTCTCTCTCTCGCGTGCGCTTTCTCTATCACTGAGTCTCTCAGCTTCTCTCTCTCTCTCTCTCTCCTTCTCCTCCACACAGACAGGGCGGTAAAGGGGGCTCGTCCGAGGCTGCGAGCAGAGCAGACTGCCTCCTCCTTCCCCTAGCCCAGCCGGTAGGAGGGTCTTGAGCAGCTCTGTGCGCGAGAGGGATCCAGACACAGACCAGCGGGCTGCAGTGTTTCCACAACCTGGGAGAACGCAGGGAAGAGGAGAAGAGGAGTAGAGACGAGAAGGGGATGGCGGCAGCGTGAGCAATCGATTCCCCCTACTGGCTGCACGTGGAGCTACCACCTGGAACACACTGTGTCCTCAAATAAAGACTTTCTCTTAACAAACTAGACTGATTTAACCTCAAAACCAGTAAAGTTGGATAAACACTTTCAATGTGCAACTTTTTAGAATCTGAGAGTATGTTTATTGTCAGTTATTAGTTATGTCACATGTTTTTATGTGGAGCTTACTGTAAAAGGAGGAATTAGATCATAACGCTGTCATCATGTTTCACCTCAGGATCAGCATCGAGGATGTGCAGTCAGTGTTCACTTGCAACGACCAATAATAACACTACAATAGTAATAAATGCAAAAGTAGTAAACAACATTCTCCAAGTATAAACTGAGAGCGAAGAGAAAATCACTTCCCGTGTAACATCAAAAGATGACAATTGCGGTACTAATCTCCTCTGAATCACCATGACCAAAAACATTAGAACAATGTCTCGTCAGTGAGTGTTTGTTTGATCTCAAGTAACCACAGCTACACTCATACTTCTGTAAACAAGATCAAACACAGGGATGCAAAAAACACCACTCTCAGAAGGTCCCACACTCACAAACCCACTCTCAGACACATGCACCCACATGCATGGATAAGAACTGACCTAAAAAACCTCGCGGGTATCTCAGTGAGGCTGAGGCCACAAGTTCAGGAGCCTCATTTTTCACTCAATTAGCAAATCAGCTTGGTTTTCATTTAAATTACCTGCCATGAGTCCTGCAGGAAACTGCAGCCAAAAACTACACCATGAAATTACTGGACTGAAAACAATTATATTTTGGCAATTTCCACATCTGAAAATAGACCCATGACTTTGATTAGTTTAGTTTTGTATTTCATCTGTTACACTTCAGAGCGTTACATAAAAACCCATGAGGCCGATGTGTCCTCCTGAAACAATAATAACCTAATTACATATCTCAACAACGACACTCAATTTAAGTGAGTTGAGCTGTAGGAAATACACATTCTTTACCGCAGAGACAAAGTATATATGACAGGGACTATTCAGTTAACCGATTAATCAATCACAAGGAAATTAATGAATGACATTTTTGAAAATATTGCCAAACACATTATTTGCAAACATAAGGTTTTTTTTTTTCGACAATCAAGTCGCTCAACGAAGTGCAAATATCACATACTTTTAATGAGAGCTATGGGTCTAAAAAAGGCCCAGTGCATGTGGACAGACCGAATCAATACCAGCAGAAGAATCCCAAGGACCAAAACAAAGCACGAAGGGAAGGGGCAGCCTTTTACAAACATGGAGAGGAAAATATAATTATCAGACAGGCCACTTTGATCTGCGGGGAAGAGATGAGGATGATATCTATCGTGGGTTACCAGATTAACAGCCTCGGGATAAACTAGACACACAAATCCTCAGCATCTGGTGAAAGGCAGAGAGCAGACAGTGAGATGGACAAAGGCCAATGGTGATAGTAATAGAAGAAGAGATACAGACAGAAAGTAAGGTAAGACACATGGGGAGATGGAACCTGAATGGGACATTGAGGCAGGAAAGATTCATACGTCTTCATACCACGGTGTGTCCACTGAGCAACCACAAAAAGCCAGCTCTGTATTACATAGATAAAGCTCATCACATTTGGATTTTCAACTAAAATTCAGTCTTTTAAAAGGAGTAAAACAGAGCGGTAGATGTGGTTAGTTTCACCCAGACTTTGTCCACACGTAACCAAAAGTCCCTGCTGCAAATTATTCTTCTACCAATAGAAAGTGAGGACAAATATGGAGAAACAAAAAAGGCAAATGAGCTGCTAATTATGCACAAGAGTTCATCAAAGTAATTAAAAAAGCAATGCATGTTTAAGCAGTGTGTTTGCACAATGCTGTGTTAATCATTATCGCCCAGAGTTTTTAATTATTGATTTTTTTTAGGTTCTCATTTTATCCAAAATAGAGCTGCAAGGATTAATTGATTAATCGATTATCCTAGTCAATTGACAGAAAACTATTTAGATAATCAGTTAATCGTTTCAGGAATTTTTCAAGCAAAAATTCATATATCCAAAATGCAAATGTTTTTGGATTATTGGTGAATTAAAAATAAATAAATAAATGCAATCCGAATACTTTACCTTTTGCTGTGGGAAATTATATCAGTCATTTTTCACTATTTTCTGACATTTTCTGACAAAATGACAAAATGATTCCTCAAATAATAGAGAGTAATAATAATTTACTTAATCTATTCATCTATATCAAAAATAATCGTTAGTTCGAGTTCTAACCCAAACCCATATTTTTAGTGAAATAAATCCAAAATATTCTGCATAATTATGGAATATGTGCTACTATTTATGACTGCAAACTCACTAAATGTCTATCATATTTATTCAAATTAGTCGACACAGAATGGAAACACAGGAGAGTACCGTTACACAGACGCTGGTCAGCTAAACCATTAATATTCATTGGTCCAGCCATTAAGAATTAAGAGTCGGGACTTGAGACTTGACTCTTGAAACTAAAGAACTTGACCTGTGGCCCTACAGACAACTACATTGAGAACTGGCTGACGTGAACTTTCAGCCTTTACCCATGAGTTGGCAAAGGTTAGTTTATAAAGGCAATTTCACATTAAGTGACTGGAGAGCGGTAATTCTCGCTGTATGTAAATAAATGCTTGCACTGTGTCATAGTCCATGGAAGCAGACCTCGAAGACTGTGGACTGGTGGTGATAGAGGTGCTCTGGTCTGAATCAGTGGAACTGACGTCATAGATAAGTCATATGCAGCCAGATATTTCACGGAAAGAGAAAGAGTGAGTGAGCTTCTCTCTGTTCTTGGATTATTAATAGCGACGCAACGCCTCCTCATTTAACATAATGTCGATACTGTGTGGTTGGGGCACAGGAGATGCAGAACATTTAAATTAGGCAATTTTTTTTATACAAATCTTCACTTAAATCTCCCATTTTAAAAAGGACCACATCTGAGTGCTTGAGTTTTTCAAGTGTTTCAAACTACTTTGTACACTATGATACACTTGCCAAACATAACAGCACAGCAAGTGCTGCACTGTTGCAAATTGCATTCAGCGTTCTGAAAAGTGAACGACAACTGATCTGATTTACAGGCTGGTTTATCACAATAAAGCTAAAACGGTGCCTCTCTGCTGTTTGAATATTTAAAAAACTACACTGAGAAATATTTTGCTAATATTTCTGCAGCCAGGTTTGTTGGAGCCAAAGCCATCTGCTGCTCCTCTGTTCTGAGGTCTTCCTCTCGTTGATTCACTTTCTAAATTGAGAGCAGGAGTGAGTCATTCACAGGACAAAAAAAAAACAGTAAGAGGAAGACAGCTGAGGGTGTATCATGCCCCTGAAGGTGTTAAGTAGCTGCAATTCCCTTCTTAAGAATGCAAGCAAGTCTAGTTATAGAAAACTACAGCATGACCACAACATGGCCTCTGTTCATTTTCAAGAGAGACACTCTTAGAGCAGCTTTTATTTAGCCTTTATTTAACCAGGACCGCAGAATTCTTACTTGGCAAGTTAGCTCAGTGGTAAAACAAGCTTTTTATTAAGATATTTCAATTATATCAACATCCATGGAGATATTAGTGTCCTGAAGAGACAATGAAAGAGCTGCCCTTTTGTTCATTGACTGCTCTGACAACACCAGTTATTCTGCTTATGTCTTGAATCTCTATTCAAAAGGGAGAAATAATGAGAGAAGACAAAAAATGGTTTAAAAGCAAAAACAGTACAGAAAAAGCTGAAAGAGAACTGAGTTGTCGTCTCAACACAAGATCAGTAAAGAGCTACACAATGTTCCCGTCCAAAAAGAATTCCTAGAAAGTCCACAACCATCTCGCCCTCCTGTCCGACCCCTCCCCAAGGGAGACTACTGTACTTCTTCAAGCTGCTGCAGAAACCAAAAGGCTTTGTTTCCTGTGGTTTGTTGGACAGTCCTGTCGTGGGTGTTTCCCAGAAATGACCAGATGCGTGGAATTCGAGGGGAGGCTGGCGCAGCGCCAGAGGTGGGGTGGTGGGAGAGGAGGGCTGGAAGAATGGAGGAGGGAGGGGAAGTGGAGTTAGGGAACAGCAGGGCCTGGTATTCCTGGAAAAGAAAACCCTTTTGCTTTTGGCAGTGGTTCTACTGGGAGATACCCGAGAACCAAAAGATCATCTTACATGTTTAATGCAGACCTACTGATGTAGCTCTACTAACCAGCTTCCCTGGGGCATTTAGTTCATGATAAAGCGAAAGCCGAACTGTCTTACCAGCCCAGCTATGACGTGGTTGATGCGCACATGCTGTTGCAACACAGACACTACCATCTATCAAACATCTTAGACTGTGCTTGGGTTAATACAGCAGAGATCATGTGATTATAGTTTACAATAATCTTAGAAAACATGACTGAATGTTGATAATCACTTTAATTAGGAAGAGCCTGATAAACAGATGCTGCTTGCTAGTGTTTCTAATACCACAGAAGATCACTTGGTACTCAGTACAGATGATCGGCGTTTGTATGAAGCTGTGGTATTCATTCAAACTGCTATTTAAAATAAAAATATGTTTTTCATTGAAGCAAAACCTAATTTAGCTAAATCTGAAGGCGCATTGAGACGGATTGATGTCAAATTCAACTGT